CTGGCATCGAGTCAGACTGAGACACTATCAGCTGACTTTAAAGCTGTGGCTGATCAGGTTGAGGACAAACGGACTCACCGGGACAGCAGGCATGAAGATCTTGACGTACAGCTGGGAGAGGCTTCACGCAGGAACAACGAAGCATGAAAAAGACTGAATACAGCGTTTATTACTGAACGTTAAAGGTACACAGAACCGAGGGGGGCTCACACTGACCTGGCGACCTCTGGAGTCTGCCTGGCGGCCAGCAGCAGAGGCTCGGTGTTGATGAGGACGGCCCAGCAGGGGAAGCAGGCCAGCAGCAGGATCAGGATCCCCCTCTGGAGGATCACGCCGACTCGCTTCAGGTTTCCGCTCCCATACGTCTGCAGGACACATCACAAAGAGAAGGGCTGATCCAAGAAAACTAACCCGACACCGACGCTCGCTGTGGAGCCGGCGAACGGGGAACCGCGGGGCGACATGGGAACCCGGGTTGGACAAACAAAGGGAGAGAACGAGCCCAGGTCCGGACCCTACCTGAGAGATGAGAGTATCGCACGTCAAGGACAGTCCGGTGCCAACAGAAATACCGGTGACGTTCACCACCTGCAAGCGAGAAGACACACGAGATTCACGGCTACGCAACTCCAACATCCACAACAAGGACTAGAAGGTAAGACGAGTCTGCTCACAGCGATGGACAGAGAAACTCCAGCCAGCTCCGTTTTCCCCATGTGACCACAGAACACCATGCTGACGAAGCTGAGCATGAAGACCATGAGCTGGGAGATGACCTGGGAACAAAAACACCGTCAGCAAAATCACTCAGACACAGAAAACATGAGCTGTTTAAAGTCTATCAGATGTTTGAGAGAGTGTCTGTATGAGTGGTTTGACATTTATTCCAAATGATTGGATCAGATATTCAACATTTTTCTGATTATCTCTGTCATTATTTTGTTTTAACAGATTCTAAATAAACTAAATCAATTTCAGGAAGCCTGACTGTGGTTTTGAATTAAGCCCCGCCCCCTTTCCCCATCTGATTGGTTGCACAAAACAAGAATTAGCCAATCAGCATGAAAGGATAAATGTTGAAAAGTTCAGTTTCTGTTTAACGAGTCAAACCTTAATAATTTTATTTTAGCAAACTTTTACGGTATTCTAAATTTTTTACTTACAAAAAAATAAAGTTTATCACTAAAATCTGATGAAATGAAAATATGACAACAACCAAGTCGAAGCAAATAAACAAAAGGAATATTATGATTGTTCTGAAGTTTCTGGAACCTAACTGTAAAAAAAAAAAAAGTAAAAAAAAAAAGTCTGAATATTTACTTTTATTTTACATTTTTTTCTGTATTAAAAAAAACCAAACAAAATACCCAAAACTATCAATACAGTTATAAAACTATGAATGTACACGTCTAAAGTTAAACGATATTAAAAACGTGTGTTTTTTAAATCGCCATAAAAAAGATGAAATCTATCAAATGCTTCTTTCTTATATGAAAAATAAAACTGTCAAATTAAAACTTTATACTGTAAATGTATTTATAAAGTTTCATACAATTAGTGAGAATGAACAGAAAAATAAATGTTCTGTTAAAGGAGATATTTCTCAAAAATACTGAATAAATGTGTTTTCATCCGTGTATGAAATATAAAATAAGAATTAGTAGTAACATGTAAGGCTGTGTTTTATTATTATATCTACTGATGTCATCATATGTAGTTACATGCTGTGTGTCATTTCACTGTTTTTAAAGTCCTGCATTAAACATTAAAAATGTCAAAATTACACACGGAAATTTAACGCTACATGATTAATTTTACTTATAGAAAATTATTGTAATTTTTTAAAATTGACATTATACATTTTAGGTATTTTCACATTTTCTACATGTATAAATATTTGTCATTTAACATTAAAAGTCAAAAATACACATAATCTCTTGTCTATCAGATGAATTCTAATTCTGGAAAATGTATTTATGCGACATTTTCTGTTATTTTACAGAATTTATTTGGTGTTCCGGGTTGTTTTCTTTCTTTAAAAAAAACAGTGTATAAAACCTGTTCGCTCTGAGCTCCGTTATCGATTTAATTTTATAGTTTTTACATTAAAACGCCAAAATACACAAATGTTAAAATGTAAAATGATGGCAGCGTATTTAAATGAAACGTTTTTATGATGGACATTGGTTTACATATATATCATCGATCTATTATTATATATTAGTAGTAATTTTATAGTTTTTACACATGTAAATATCCTTTATTAAACAATAATAAGCCTAAAAAAGTCACAGAAACTCATAAAATTAAGGCTAGAATATTTATTTTAAAGGAGGATGATGGTATTTTTTCTGTTATGATCTGTCTATCTATGTAATTTTATAGTTTTTACACATCCAACATTAAATCTTATTTTGCTGCTGATGCTCACTTTCATCTTGAGCAAAACAAAGGCCAGTAAATGTAGTTTAAAGACGTAAACTTGCTGTAATTTTACTACACATGATAATATCTGACTATTTTTTTGGATGTCACCAGTCTTTAACTTTCTATGTTTCTGTCCTTCAGGGTGAACATGTGGAGCGAACATCTAACTGGTTTTAAAGCAGAACATCATCAGCTGAAGGTGGAGGAGCCTCCTGTGCACCGTCATCCTAAAGAGCAGCTCTGAGTCAGAACCGTCCTGCAGATGGACACATTCTGCAGTAAACCAGGTTCCATCTAACACCAGTGAGCAGAGAACCAGCGGAACCAGAAGGATGAAAGCCTCATCCAGAGGTTCTGCTGAGCTCTGACAGAGGACCAGGAGTGAAACATCTGCAGACGCACATGGAGGAGACACAAACACGACAACGTGTCCGTTTACGCAGAGAAACGACGCATGAGTCTCACCACCGGTCCCGCTAGTTTCAGAAGTTCCTGCAGCTCGGTGCGGTACCGGAGCGGGACGCAGCCGGAGATCCTGCTCAGACAGCGGCCACCGGCCCCGGCGGAGTCCCGCTCACCGGCTTCGGCCGCCTTCAGGTCCTCCTTCGCTCCGTCTGCGGTTTTGGCTGAAGCGTCCATGTCCGAGTGTGATGTCCGAGTGTCTCCGGTCGGACTGAGCAGCGGAGGAGGAGGCTGCAGGAGTCCGGGTCTGGCTTTAATCCAGCAGAGGAGGAGGAGGAGGACACACACGTGCTGCGGACTGAGGAGGGTCCAGAACCGGCGTGGTGCGTTCAAGTGCACGCTTCAGGTTACCCACAGGGACACGTTCACAGACACACACTGGTACAACTATGAATGAATACACAACTAAACACAAACAGGAACACGTGTGGTTCTGATGTTAACATGCAGACTCACAAGTAGATCATTAAGATTTATAAATGCAGAAAAACAAAATAAAAAAAAAATAAATTACATTCCTGATAAATAAATGTAGAAATACAGAAACCAACTAAAACATAAATAAATGTAGAAGCACATGAAAAAGCAGAAAAAATGCAGAAAAACTGAAAAGTAGAAAGACATAAATGACTGTGGACACAATCTAAATGTAAAAGAGAAGACTGGAAGAAAAATAAATGTAGAAAAACATGCATTAATAAACAGCAGATAAACGTAGAAGTAAATGAATAAATAAATACAGAAATAATCTAGAAATTAATGTATATTAAATAAATGTAAAAGTGCATGAATCAACAAATGTAAAAATATAAAATAAATAAATGTAGAAACACAGAAATGTCTAAGTACATGAATAAATGTAGAAAAGCTTAAACAGAAAAAAAATAATAAAATCAAGCAAAACAAAAACAGCCTGAATAAACGTTAATCATCTAATTGTGTCATTTCTCATGACTTAAATGAATGTATTTATATTATTTAATTATTTATTTCTGCACTTATTAAATCATTTACACTCACTTTGCATCCTCTATATTATTTCTATTATGAACGCTGCAGGAATAAATCTGTTCATCAGCGTTAAGCAACAAGTTCAGTGTCTGAAATCACTAATAAAACAGAAAACTTCTTTTTCCTTCAAAGCTCATCTTTGCAGCTTAAAGTTCTGTCTTTACTTTCACTAAAATGTTTTTATTTTTTATACTTTAAACCCTAAATGTTTCCCCTGTTATTTAAATTTAAATCTGCTTTTCTTCCCTTTGAACATCTTAAACACTTTGTGAAGCACTTTGAACTTCCTTTATATCTGCACAAGTAAACTTGCTCGTGAAAACACTTGGTCTAAATCAAATAATTAAAATGTGAAATGCACAGACAGAAGCAGCAATGTTAAAATATCTGCAGGTGTAACAGTGGAAACCTGCTGCTGAATGACATGAACCAACCAGAGTGACGACAGCAGAACTAAATGAAACTAAAGCTGCTAAATGCTGAAAATATAAGTTTTTATTGAAAGTAGAAAAAGGCAGACGACAATCTACAAAGTGTTCAGACGCTGTTGGGTCGCACAGAACACGATCCGGCTCACAGAGTTTAAAATGCAAATGACATTACGTAAGCCGTGTGCTCGTTCATACGCGACGACCAAACTTCTGCTCTGGTTAATATTCAACAGGAAAAACCCAGAGTCACTCTGGGACGGACGTCGTCTCGACTCGCTGTTTGCTGAGAACTGATGAGATCTGAGCTCCTCTTGGGCCAGAACCCGACTGATAATTTACAGTCGGCCCTAAATTGGTTTCTGCTGTTTGTTCCCAGCAAACACGAGGTCGTCTGTTTGAAACTCTCCTCGGCTTGTTTCATACGAATCAGGATGGAAATAATTCAAGTAAAATGACGGACAAACGTGAAAACGGTGCAACAGAATCATTTCAGCTCTGAGCAGAAAACAACCGACTCCTGCACATTGTTTGATCTGCAAAAGGGTTTTTCCATCATCAGCAGCTTTCTTAGTTCATTTAAAAAACAAACATTTTAAACCCTAAAACTCTTTGTTCTACTTTTAAGGTACAACTCGTCATATCTGCTGCTCGGGTTCTGAGAGTTCAGTGAAAATAACTCGTTTGTATTTTTGCAGCCGAGTTTTTCCACATTTAGAAATATTCTATGTTGAGTTCTGTATTATTGTGATTTCCATCAGCCCGACCGGTCCAGCCAGACGGCCGCCGGAAGTTTGTTCTTGTCCAAAAAAAAAAACGAAGCTTTGTTTTCCAACAGTCACCAATTAACTGACTCAAAAGGAATCTGTTTGTTTGTCGGGTTTCTCTTGAACTAACTTGCGTCATGAGTTAGCGCTACGTAAACACAACGGACCCGAATCAAAAAAGATCACACGACTAAACCGTTCAGAGCGAGCGTGGATAAACCGTACTGTACGAATGTCATCCAGGTCTAAAGACCAACTGGTTGGTGTCCGTCAACTGCTAAATGTGAAACTACCTGCTTCCGTTTCGGCCGACGTTTGGTCCGTTAGCTTCGTGGTTTCTTTGGCTCGACTCGTTCATTCCACGTGTCTCAGGTGAATCTCAAAAAACAAAAATCCAAGGAAGAGTTCAAACGAAAAGCATTTAAGACCGACTTAAACTGAAAACTGATCCGTCTCTGCACACGGAGGCTGTTTCCGAAATCACTACTCGCTTTATAGTGTTTGCCATGTTGTACCTTGTGTAGTGTTCTTAAAGTATCCCACAATGCACCAGGGACGGTACTGTGCAGCCAACGCAGACGGACGAGGGAGTAAATTCAGGATCGGTGGTAGTTCCACAGATTCTTTTCTCCTTCCTTTGTATGTCACTACAGATGGAGGACAAACTACAGAAAAAAGTCAACATTCAGTCTTACTGAGGTGCTAAACTCCACCAGAAGAGCTTCAACCCAACATGTCGTTGGTTCTCCAGGTCTCTAGAACTCTACTGGACGGGTTCTCCAACAACTTCATTTGGTGTTTTGATGATGGAGCTCGAACAAGTGGCTCAAAAATCTACCGTAAGTTGGGATGAGATTTGGCGTCGAATGGGATTTACTCATCAAATGTTCCTTTATTGGACTCGTATTGATGTGCAGCGACTGTTTCTTCTAAAAAGGGACCAGAAGACAGAAACCATCTGTTCACTGCAGTAAAGAGTTCAGGTTTGTCAGTTAAAAACGTCTTTACATCCTTCAGCAGTTTCCCTAAAAGTAAACTGAAGTTGTTCTCTGGTCAAGAACAACCAGGAAGCTTTTATCTGATCCCACTGGAGGGGATCTCTGGGAGAAAACTACACTTTAGTCTCATCCCCAGTTCATAAAAACTCCTCTCTATGCGTGTTTGTTTGGTAAGAGCTGAACTGATAAAGTGCAGATTTTCTTCTTTTGGCATCAATTAGCAGAAAGACTTCAGCTGCTAACTGGTTAGCATGTATCCTGGTAAACCTCAGACTTGAATCAGGTTTTTCGTCTCTAAAAGCCGACTTCATGCGTCCAGGACAGTTTCTGTCAACACAACCTCTGCAGCCGCTACGAGCACCTGAAGATGTTAAAACGTTTGAACACCAGCTACACTAAACTGCTTTTATGGTTATTTATTGGGATTATTTTCATCTGCACTGCAAGAGCAGTATTCAGTTGGTATGTCTGCAGAAACTCCAGAACAGACGACCAGTGGATCTTGGATCTTGGATCTTGCGCATCTCTTCGTTCTGAGCATAAAATCAGGTGTTTGCACTGATCTGCTCTGTAAACGGCGACAGAGTGGCTCAGATCGACCCACGACTAACTCTTTCCTGTGCACGTTACAGCTTGAGCACTTCTACATCTAATCTGGATTATACCGACGGAGCGACGCATGAATATCTGGTTGGCTTTGGTTCTCTGTTTATGGTTTTGCAGCAGAACAAGAATGTGACGAAGCAGCACGTCGGCTCGCCAAAGCATAAAGTGAAGAATGTGTGGAATCTGCACAGAGCTGCAGACTGGACAGTTTATTCTCAGCAGGATCAACGTGACGAGCGGCGCCGTGACAGTCGGCGAGGAGCAGAAATCACTTCAGCAGCCTCAGCAGCAGGTTGCTGGTGAGCACGCCGGCCGCCAGGATGCTGACCATGATCAGCAGGGCGAGGCCGCGACGCACCGCCAGCTGAGACACGGACAGAACGTCGCCCACCGTGGTGCCGATGAACTCTCTCTGGGCTTCTGGGTTTGTGTCCTGAGCCTGGTTCTGATCTGAATCTGGAGGATCGAGAGGGAACGTTGGGTTTGAACGTGAAACTCTTTCCTCAACATGCAACATGAACGAACAAAGTCACCTGTTTGTTCTGACTCCAGCGTCTCTTTTTCCTCTGCGACGTGGACGCCGGCCCTCACCAGAGCCTGACGGAGACATCCAGACATTTTATGTCCTTTTATACCGTGTATGTAAACTTCTGGTTTCAACTGTGTAGCTCAAGACGAATTGAAAGAAGTATTTTCCTTTAAACGACGCCTCCACTCACCTCGTCTGCGGCCTTTTTCCAATCAAGCTTGTACAAGAACGTGACAAAAAAAATCGCCTGCAGTGACACGCAGATGCAAAGCCCCATCCACAGCCCTGCCACAGACGTAAGAAACCGGTTGTTCTGACTGCTGCTGGACAAACACACCACCTGGTGTTGCTTTATAGCGGTTTGCTTTTACCTACGATCCCCATGTGTGCTGCGAACATGAGCGACACGCCGATGGGGAAGCCGATGAAGTAGAATCCCACGAGGTTACACAGAGCGCCCACCAGCTGTTTAGCTGCCCCTCGGAGGACACCTGAAGCCACGGCCTGAAAACAGCACAGCCGCTCAGATCACACCTTATTTAAACGCTTCATGGATGTTGTGTGTTGTGTAGCTGAGCATCGTTTCTCACCGCGGTGGCGTCGCAGACGTGCATGAAGCCGAAGATCAGCATGACGTCAGCAACCCTCTGAATGATGTCTCTGAAAAGACGCAGATATGGAGGTCTGTCATTAACAGATAGAACACTTTGAACACCGACATCTACACAATGAGATACAGCCGTGACTCGATAATCCGACACCAAATGTAAAACCTTCTTCTATGTCGGATTGTCCAGATGGAGGTCCAGATACGAGGAGGGCTTGATGCTGGAAGGTTTCATTAGTTGTTCATTATTGTTCATAGTTGTTATAATAACTAGTGTGTTGTTAGAACACTACACATCGCTGGATTTCACGCCTAATGCCTAATTTGCAAGGCATGATGAGATCCAGCAGAGACCGGGTGGTCGTCCGGGGGAAAGACAGGAAGAGCTGGGTGTCATCAGCATAGCAACGGTACGAGAAACCACGGGCCTGGATTATTGCACTGAGTGAGGTTGTGTAGATTGAGAAGAGAAGGGGACCGAGCACTGACCCTTGAGGAACCCCTGTGGACAGGTTGTGCAGTTCGGACACGTCTCCCCTCCCTGTTCCAGCCTCACTTTATTTCAGTATTGCCTTGAACTTAAACACGATTCCT